CTTGCACTTATCCAATAGAGTTAATGTTGATTTAGCCTTGAGAATAACTTCTACAAGCGCTAATTATGACACAGATATAATTAAATTTAGATGAAATTCATTTCACGATGTATAGCTTTGTGATAATTTTGGACAGAAATTGGATTTTGAAAAATCATTTGCCTTTCTTTAGCAGAGGAAGAAACGGCTTAATAATAGGTCACCTGTTGAAAGCACTTTCCGCCGAAGTTTTCAGGCTTTCTGCTAAATTTTTAGCCTCTCTCACCCCTAGAAAAATATCGATAAGCCTGCGGTGAAGATGCAGAATAGGCTAAAAAAAATATGAAAAATGAGCCATTTTAGAGGGATAATATTTAGTTAGACACTTGCACAAGTGGTTGTATTTGGTTTGAAAATCAGATCTTTCGTTTCTAGGATCGTGCTGTAATCGTTAGTTCTGATTTTAATTCGAAATCACACATTTCTATTTTTAAGGATCTCATCCAGAAGGAAGGTCATAACAGAAGCTGTAAGTTTATATTAAAAAGAAAATAACTCTAGAAAAACCATTTTTCATGAAAAAAACTGCCTTCACATCTGTAATCAAGAATTTGTTAAAAATCACTCTACAAATAGATTATACTCATAGATGGATATTTATCAATCTTATAAACATCAGAATAATCAATCCTTGTAATTAAATAAAAAAAAACAGATTTTTCCAACTCATATACCTTAGTCAAGGAATGATGAAAAGAAGTTTGATTTCTTTTTTTCGAACTCAAAACTTCTTGAAGACTCTACACAACATTCGGTAAACTCTCTCAATTCATTGCTTTATTACTTTAAATAGAATATTTCCATGAATGAATCAAAAATGATTCAACAAAGGTTAAACAATAAAAGAGTATTATCTTAGATATTTTTTTAAAATTCATGATTTTAAATTTAAATAAGAATTAATTATGTTAAATATATATACTGTATATATTATCTTTAATTATTTAGAGGTGTTTGGATGTCTGTTGGTTTGCTTTCTTCAGCATTAGTTACTCAAACAATTCTATTTATTTTTACATTTGGTATTAAAGTTCCTTGGTTAGTATTAAATTATTTTAAAGAATAATTCAAAATTCTTATTTAATATTTTCTATATAGTGGTCTATTTATTCCTTCAATGACACTTGGTGCTATAACAGGTCGAATTATTGGTATTCTATTTGAAGCATGCGTCTATTATTGGCCAAATTTTTTCTTATTTACTATTGAATGTAGTACAGCAGATGAACAATGTGTTGCACCTGGTTTTTATGCTGTTGTTGGTGCATGTGCTTTTCTTGGTGGTGTTACACGAATGACAGTATCACTTGTTGTTATTATGGTTGAATTAACAGGTGGTCTTTCATATTCAGTTCCATTAATGTGTACAGCATTAGTATCAAAACTTGTTGGTGATGCTTTAGTTGGTGAAGGCATATATGATGCACATATTAAATTAAATAATTATCCATATCTTGATGTTAAAGCAGAATTTATTGATCAAGCAACAGCTGTCAATGTACTTGAATCTAAACAAGAAAAAACTGAATTAATTATGTTACCACGCGATGGTTTAACATTAAATGAATTAATGACAATTGTACGTACATATAAATATAATGGTTATCCTGTTATTGCTAGTCAAGAAGAAGCATCAATTATTGGTTTTGTTTTACGTCGTGATCTTCAATTAATTATACAACAACGAATATTAACAAATGGTGAATCAAATACAAATCTATTAATATCATTTTCACGTACAATACAACAACATCAACAATCAAATTTAATACATCTTTATCGTTTATTAAATCGTTCACCAACAACAATAACATTAGATACACCAACAACAACAATTATTGATTTATGTAGAAAACTTGGTGCACAAACTATATTAATAACAAATGATAAAGGACATTTAGTTGGTCTTTTGACCAAAAAAGATATTATAACTTATGTTAAACAAAAAAAAAATTGAATAAAAATATTTATGATTGATTGTGTTAAGAAAAAAAAAACATTTGGGAAATAAGATATGAAAGGTTGCTAGAAAAATCTCTATGGGTTTAAAATATGAAATATGATGTTATTGCTGTTAATAATCATAGGAAAATTTTTTTATTCTATCTAACAGGTGTGTCAAAAGAAATTGGCAGTTTTTTTTTTGATAGGTTCGATCCGAGAGTTTTGTTTTGATGTTAATAGATAAAGAATTTTGCGTAGGGTTTATTTATAAGTTCTTTTTAAAATGAGCATTTGTTCTTTTCTTGTAGCGCCAAGGATGCCGAATACTACAAAAAAACATTATTTACTAAGCATTTTACTGGTATAAGATGTCGTTTTTCTTTGTTGAGTAATTTTATATATGCTATTCAAATCCAGTACAAAAAAAAGCATAGATACGTATTTGTTTTTGAGATACAGAATATCAAATTTTATGATAAATATCATCATTGCAAAAACAATGACTAGTTGCTCATTTGTGGAACCTTTTTTTGTCAAGGGAAAGATCTTAGCCTCATCATTAGGTAACGAAAGCAATTCAGTCCTTATGGTGAAGAACATTTTTGTAGAGCTTGAAATTCTGCATCGATTGATATTAAAAGAATATTTTTTAAAACTCCAACTTTTAAGAAAATTGACAACGAAATATACGATTCCGTTAACTGAGGATGGTTTTTTTAGCGCAGAAATAGCTAAGTGTATAAAAATCAATGCATTATTATATAGACCGAAAAATTTTACATCTCTTACTACCAAAAAGAAGTTTTTAAATTAAAATTAACTCATCAAAAATCTCTAATCAGTAATGTCTCATTTTGAAAGGAATATACCAATAAAATCTATGCAAAATTATCTACGTTTTAATATTAGAACAAAATTTCCTTAGTTAGCTTCATTTGAGAAAATAGTCTATTAAAAGCTGACAATTTCTTCTACCATACCCATTATTTTGGAACACATTTCTTCATCATCTTTTTACTTAATCTTCAAGAAATGCAATAAGGAAATAGTTCATATATTATAACAAAAAGTTATTGATATACGGCTTGTAATCGTATATCATCAAAGTCTATCACGCGAAGGAGAGCAAGTCTTGCTAAGATGTCTGTGAGAAGAGTTCAAAGTTTTATTCCTATATTTCAGCACTTCTTTTAGATCGTATTCCACAAAAAATTGAACACAAGAGAGAGAGAGAGAAACTCTTTCTTACTTTTTCTTTCCTTTGTTAATACTAAAAAAAAGAATTAGGTTTTCGGCGATATATAGAAATAGCATTATTTCCTTTATATAGTAATAAGCGGAAATTGAATATTACTCATAGAAAATTTGTGTGGTGCATATATTTTATACAAAAATATTCACTGATCCTCGAATGACTGATGATACTCTTTTTTTTTTTTATAATAAAACAACAACAAGTATCAAGTTGTTTTTTATGCCTTTTTTTTTTTGTTCATATACGAACTGTTGATCATTTTTCATGAGTGATTATAAGTAATAATGACATGTTAGAGAAAAAGCGATTTTTGGTTTTATAAATGACACAACAGCATGAGATGGAGAGTAAAAGCATACGAGAAAAGCTAAAGGCATGCTGATTATTTGCTCTGTATGGTGGCTACTAAACTTTTTTTTCTCCATCTTTCTCATTGAGTTAAAAGATTATATATAATGGAAAAAATATATATATAATGGAATAAAAAACAATACGAGAAGATAGATAAGAAGAAAAAAAAGTAGTTCAGACAAGAGCATCTTCGCATATTCATCACTTGAAAGCAATAAAAGAAAACGAACTTACTGTTTGATTATCTCATAGATTTTTGTACTTGCGTATATGTAGTTTTTCCTCTTATATCGTTTAGATATTCTTACTACAAAAAAATTGCTCGTTACTATAACTGAAATAAATGATGCATTCATTTCGTCAACAATTGATAACATATTTCTCTATTTGGTTTCTTTTCATTTGCATTGTTCAAAGCTCTCAACAAGTAAGTATAATCATTATTATAATTATCAATTGATATATTATTTAATTCTTTTAGAATGCTGAAGAACATCATGTCAATGAAAAAACTAATTCTCATGATCGACCAATAAACGCTGATCATCTTCAAAAGTTAAAACAAATTTTAACTCGTCGAAGTTTTTATGATCCTGCATTTGGCGATTCATGGTCAAAATATTTAGAAAAAAAACGTGAGTTATTCGATCCAGCTTATGGTGATTGGGCCAACAGCTTTAAAAGATCAAATGAATAAGATAAACAAAAACCTTTTTCTCCTCCCTTCCATTTCATTCATGAACCTTATTGATGAAAAAAAAGAGCAATTAATAAAAAAAAAAACATTTTAATTGATCATGAAAATGTTATTAAACGTAACAACTTTTATTTCTCTAATTTAAAATGAGATGATTCTTCTTCATGTTTTTTTCTTTTACATGCGTACATATTTTTATATGATTCTGCTTGTACAATAAAAATGCGGATCAAGAAACAAATAAAAACAGAAAATAGAATTAATCTTCATGTTTGCACCCATTATTATACAGCAAATATCACCAAAAAAAAAATATACATATCATAAGAACAATGTTCGAACATAGATCAATACACTGTTCTTTAAAAAAAGAAACCGTAATCGAACTGAGTACGCAAGAACAAAAGAAAGAAAAACGTATGAATATATCATCTGCTACGCAGAACTACGAACACAAGAAAAAAAAATGAAATAACAGTAAAAATATGTATAGCGTTTTCAAACAAAACAACGAATCGCCGTATTTCTAATCGATCAAAAAACGCGAAAGAGAGAGAGCAGCAGCAAGAATAATTAGTCGACACAAAAGAAGAACGAAAAAAAAAAGAAAACCAGAACAAATGAAAGACACACATATATATTATATGAAAAAACACAACAAGAACAAAGAGAGGAAAAAGAAACAAATTATCTTTAGTTCATTTTTGAAGATTTTCAATTGTCAAGATTATTCGACGGTTTAATAAATAAAAACACCGATCGTTGAAAACCTATGAACAAAAATCTATTCAAAATTGAATTATCTAAAGAATTTTTTTTCTTGTTACCTTTATGCATATTATTTGGTATTGCTATTGTAGTGCATGTTTCGAAACCGACTTCAGCCGAAAGCAGATAAGATACAAATTCTGTTGGTTTAAATTCTATACGATTATATATTTCCGTAATATCCTTCTACAAAAAAAAAAACATAAACAACAGAAAAATATTTTCATGATTTGATAGTAGATAAGCGTTAGAAAAAACAAAGAACATATTCTCACCGTCATTCGACGTTTAAGTCGATAACTTGACCATGGTTGTGGTTCAAGTATTAATCTTCCACCTGGAAATAATGTTTTATAAATTCGTTTAAAAAATCGCTTAAGACCTTGATCACCAAAATTTAAATGTACCCATTTTGTTACACTAAATGCAATAATTGTATCATACTCTGCTCTAATATTAGCTAAACCCACATCGTTATCAAGCACAAAATTTTCCTAAAATAATATTAAAAATGTAATCTTTTTTTTTTTTTTTACAAAATTAAACCAAGGAAAAAGAAAAGGTTAACGACGAATGCTTTCTGCTCGTAAGTAAATCTTCTTCTACCTTTTTTTTGGTTTTTAATCTTGAAAATTATTTTGAGATTAAATATATCTTATCACCTGTTCAATGCTGTATCATCACCATAGTAGATGAAGTAGAAAAATAACTGAGATGTATGTCGACCAGATTCGTGGCTGCTCACTCGCTCGCTCCGGCTCAGCTCGATCAGCAGAAAGCATTCGTCGCTTGGACTCAATCCAAAGTTCATTTAATAATTCTAAATATATATATATGTATATGAAGCTTTGTATGATAATTTAGAACAAGAATTAAATTCACACCTGCTGAAAGCGCAGGTTAAATGGATAGCGCTTATTTTGATTACTATTGTCAGTAGTATTCGAATTATTATTATTATTATTATTATTATTATTAGCTGTTTGTATACGATTCCATAATTGATGTCGAGCTTGTTGAATAAGTTGTTGATCAATATCAACACCAACAATTTGATCAGGTTGAAAATGTTCAGCAACATAAAATGTCACATGACCTGTATGACATCCTAAAAATACAAAAACAAAATCATAACTAATTAAGAAATATTCTTAAATGAAAAAAATCTCTAAGAAAAAAACAAATTTGTTTTTATTCATCAGTTTAATTTAAAATCAGCATATTTATCTCAGTCGAAAGATGGTGTAGTTATGTTTGTTCATCATTTGAATCTTTTATTTTTAATGTCTATTTTTTTTTTTTTTTTTTGTTGTTCTCTATAAGAACTTACCAACATCTAATACTTGTTTATTATGAAACCAATCACGTTCAAGATATTGTAAACGTTGATCATGATTCGGTTGTCGATAACCATAATAACCTTGAAAATTTCCATATCGTGGTGGTTGAATATGTCTTCGTTTTTTTTCATATCGTTTTTTTCGTATGGGATATATCATTGAATTATTAGCATGTTGTTCATTTGATGGAATAGAATAAAGATTATTAAAATCTTCATCATTACGTGATGATGTATCAAGACGAAGAGGATCAACAATATCAGGTTGAAGTAAAATTTCAACCGGTCGATCATTACCATTATTATTAGTATTTGTATGATCATTGTTGATTATTGATGATGATGTTGATTGCTTTTTCTTTTGTATAAGTGCATTTAAATTGAGTGGATCTTTTCGATTACCGCCTAATAAAAAAAAAACATTTTAATAAAAAAATTTTGTTCATCAAAAAAAAATCATCTTACCAAAACGAAAATGTATTGGAACTTGATTTTTTCTTGCAATTTTTTTTTTCATAATACGTGATCGCTTTTTTACCGGTCGTTGTATTATATTTGATGACATTATAGGAAAGAAATTGTTTGTTAAATCTTCGCCAGTTGCCATATTCTTTCATTAATTTTGAAAGGCAAAAAAGAATTTTTCAATTATTTATTATTGATAATTGACACCCACTCACACAAACACGTGAATGATAAAAATAGAAACACGACAAAGTTAGAAAGACACAAGCAGGATAAATAGAACACCTTGATATCTCGAAACGTCAAATAAATGAAAGATAAATATAGGCGCTTTTTTCTTCGTTTGAATCTTTTATTGATAGGAGTATGTTCGATTGGTTGCTAAACGAATCAGCGAACGAATGAAATATAATAAAAAAAAACACAACGATTTTATATCTGTCTTAAGTAATCAAACCGCGACCTTGTCGTTTCTTTTTATAGTAGGCAACAAACTATGGATCAATCAAGGTAGAATATGGATTTAATAACGAAGAAGAATTTTTCTCATGTTTTTTCTAATTAATGAAAAAATATTCTAAATATTAGAAATCTATTGTAATGAAAATATATTGAACTATATTTTGTATTTTATTTGACAGTCACGTGGTCGAAAAGAGGTCTGTCATTATGAATTATGTCAACTTCACCAATCGACCATGAAGTGCTACGTGCTTTGGATGTCAATATGTCATTGAAGTATATGATAAATGTTCTTCTTTGTGATCGATTCAATGACGATTAATAAAAATATCTTTAAAGATAATAGAAATTTAAAGTAAACATTCAAGGCCCATCTACTGAATCACCATTGGTGGAAATAATTGTTAAAAATTTTATTTACTAACACTACAACAAAAATAAATAAATAAATACATAGTAGAACTTTAGAGAGCTTCACTCTTTAGATCATTTTCGAGGAAATTTTTGCCTCGTTTTTTTTCTCAATGTGTTCTATATTGTCATTTTCCTTTGGTTCCATTGGAAAAATTTTTTAAATGATCAAAATTTTTCGCTGCTGTCCATCTATGTGTGTATCAGTTGATTTCATTAAATATAGTCAATTGTTTAAATTAATTTAATTCAAATTCCGGTCTAAAAAATTAATTGTTATCTATGTGTATGGTTTTTTCATGTATGTCTTATTATCCTGACCTGTAACTCAGATTGAAAGAAAGTTCTAATATAGTATATGATAGTATACATTTAAAATAGACAACAATCAGCAAACTATAGGATTCTGCCTTCTCAACTACCATTTACTGTCCGAATGATAGACGTTAACTGTCGTCAACAGAAACAAATCTTTGAATCGTATTTCCCCATAGTTCTTTCTAATTATTTATTCTCGTTATCAATAATAGATTATAGTATTTAGCTGGAAGATGGAAAATATATTAAGATCTATTGATGTATAATATCAAACTATTTTCTATGATTTTTATTAATTACTTACAAATAATATCGAAAATCTCATCACTAATTTAGTTTACATTCAAAAATAAAAATCTAATGAATTATTTCTTTTCGAATTACTCTGAAAAAACATTTGCATTCTTTATGTACATCAGTTTCTTTTTTGCACATAAGAAAACAAAAAATGACGGTCATCTCAACATATCATTGATATAGTATTTAGCAGACAAAAACCAACTAGTGCTGACATACTGTCTATCTGTTGTCGTACGATCAATTATCTATCATAACTTAGTCTAAAGAAAAAATAAAGGTTACTGTATCTCAATTCGTCGTACTATTTATATTACGTTGAAAATGTCACATAAACCTATACGTTTTCATCGTTATCATTTCTATCTCGATTAGTGAACAGTCACAACATCCAGTACGAGAATATGTAGTTGTAAAAGAGATGTATGTTGATTTTATAGCTGATCAATTTAATATTTATTCATGAACAACTGAAAACAATTTACGTTATCATATTGAATCTTTTCATAGTCCAATGCAAAAAATTCATCTATGTACTTATCCAGACAATAAAGTTATTGGAAAATTAAATGCTCGTCAACTTGGAATTTCCTATGAAGCTAGATTTGAAATATGACATATACAAAATATACCTAATCAATGGTTTAATGGAACTATTAAATGACAACAATACATGGTTGAGTGATAAATATACAATTCATTTTGCAGAATGAAGAATAAAAATGACAAGTAGAGTTTTTTCACTTATATTTAAATTTTACAATGAAGCTAAAAAGTTTCTAGCTTCATATAGAATATGCCTTTTTGCCCTAACTGTATTTTAATATGATGTAAAGATTTTCTCAAATGAATTTCCAGATAGTATCTATCTATTAGCAGTTGCTGCACATGATTATAAACGAACAAGAATGCTTTAAAGACATTCTCATGCAGATCCTCGGGAAAAATTTGTTCTAAAGATTGTTTAAAATATCAATGAATATTTGTAATACTCATTTTTATCGCTAATTGATAATTTCAGACATACTCTATCCTATTGTGTGTTCTTTCTCATGCGTTGTCGTTCTTTTTTCTTATGTTAACATCAATTTTGAGAAATCAACATCTGTTATTTGTTTCTAAGTTTTTTTCTTTCAATTCTTTTACCATATGACTTAGAGATATAAGTAAAGATTATTACTGGCAAAATGACAGTCATGAGATGATTCATATGGTTGATATGATATATTATCGTTAATGTTAAATATCATGTTTTGATAGAACGAGCAACTATCGACTTGAAGAAGAGCAATTGTATTAAAAAGTATTTGAATTACTGAGAAACAATAAGAAGATAATACCAAATCGAAATTCCAAGTTATTGCTATTGAAAACGATATATCTGGAAATAGATATCCATCAGCATGTTTAATTGTCATTTCATGTTGACTCTTAGAGACATTAGATGATCAAATAATAGCTGTAGAATAATTAGTAGTGGGATATATATGTTATTTGTAAGCAAGGATAAAATGTCCATTAACACGTGTTAAGTTATGACAATCATTTGGAAATTTGTCAGACGCCTCGTTAGTTGACAAATCATCAAAATTTCGAGCAACTACTAAAAAGAGAAATGTAAATGATTAAACTAAAAGAAAATCCAGTCCACTCTAACTATTTGAAAAGCTTCAATCTTGTTAGATATGATGAATGAATTGTACTTGAAAATCAGAAAAGTTTTATGCATAAGTTAAATTGAAAAATGTATAAGAGACTATAGCATTCATTATAATTATTATTTTTGCTATCATCTAGATCTATTAGAAAATCCATGTTCAATTTCGTACATGATTTCTTGATCTTAATTATACTGTCAAGTAAGTTCAAGAACATTCTGATATTGACAACGAGTTTTAGTTTCTTCATTATTTAAACATTTGATTGTTCCGTCTTCGAAAGAAGTTTTATATCGATAAGAAATAGAATTAGTTTTCTCAACAATATTGCTGGTTTGATGTGTCTAACAACACTGATCGATATCGTCTAATGAAACATGAATTGGTTTATCTTTGTCACTTCACCTATAAATATGACAATAACTTTAATGTAAACTCTATCATTTGATAGAATTCTAAACAATTTCTATTAAACTATTGTTACGTGCACATTTATTTAAAATAAGAAATACTGAAAAATATTTTACTAGTAATCGTAATTGATAAAATTATATAGATTTTGAATGGATAAAAAGAACACTATAGATTGAAGTTGTTGATTAGATTGAAAATTAATGCTATGAGTTGTTTTCGAAAAACATACAGAAATAATCAATGCAGTAATAGTGGTAAAATGTATTTTAACAGAAAACAATGAATAATCGAATATACGCCTTTCGGAACGAAAGTATAGTTTATTTAAAAAAAGAAAGGATTATAAATTCTGTAAGTTGTTAAATAATTAAAGTCAGATAAAAATAAACTTCGATTAACATTTTTCGATTCAACAGTCAGTCTTCATTTTACTTTCAGTTTTTTGTTTTTTATTCCACCGTATGCAGTAATCTTTGTATAAGATCAGTGGAATTTCTACGAAATTTTGTATTAAAAAAAAGTTCTGGTGTCAAAACATGTTCATCGTATTGAATCATTGTGTAGTCCAGTTTAAATATTAATATACTTACTTTTCAAAAAGTAATTTTATATACTAACGAGCGAACTATCCGAACTGTAATTCACTATTTGAACTCATGAGAAAGTCCGCCTGTAAGACTTGAAAATCAGCCCACAGATGGGTCTAATACCTCTGAAAATATTCTGAAAGTTTCTATCGAACAGAATGGTCCTTTGTCGAGATATTGAATTTTCAAGTGAACTTGATGTTTGTGCATGTGGGTGTCAAGCGACTATTTGTTGAAAACTCAATATCTCGACAAAGGAACACATCTTTTCAACTGAAACATTCACAATATTTTAAGGATCATTACACCTATCTATGGACTGTATTTCAAGTCGAAATTTCATTATTTAATTTTTCAGTAAATATCTAAAGCTAAGTCAAAAATTCAGCAAAACGATCATAACTCAGTTCTAGAAGCCGATGAACATGAATTCTTGTAGGATTTTTCTAGTCGTACAGAGACCCTCTTTCTTGGGGTTCAACTTGGGTTCAAACACCGAATAACAATTGAGGTAATTTCCTCGTAAGTACAGTTTAACACATACATAAATACAAAATGTGTCTGAAATCCACATAAATCTTTCTATCATTTGCTGAGTAAGTGAATACCGATCTTTTCTTTCTATATTCAAAATGAATCAAGTTTTCATTTTTATTTTTATTTAAACTTTATTAAGAATTCATAGACGAAATCGAAGATCATCAATAGCAAAATGACAATTACCACATGTTCCTGTATAAAGTGGATATTTTGCACCACCTGTACCAGTCAATGTTAACGTATCGATACCTGACCAATTCAGTTCAACAATTTGACGAGTCTCAATTTGAAGTGAAATAGTCTCATTGAAAACTATTGGTGAATACTGTCGAGAACCGGTCACAGTCAATGTTAAATTTCGAACGAAAGCAGATGCTGCTGAAAATGAAACAATAGAAAATAGTTGTCCATCGGTACGTTTAATTGTCACTTGATTTTGACTGAATAACACATTA